ATATATATATATATATTGTTTCGAAGAGATAGATATTCTCACTCTACCTTGTTCTTCCAACAACACCATGCCATCGCTTGGATCCACGTCAAATACCCAGCCATCCCCGTGGGCTACATAAAGCACCGCGTCGTCTGGCTTTCGAAGCACATGGCTGGACTCGATCATTTGACCGATGTTTAGTGTCCGGCCTAGTTTCGATGCTTTGACATTTGGACTGGATCGGACGCCAATGGGGCAGTTCACGACCTTAAAGTACCGTCGCGGGGCATGCCATTGCTGGAGCCGCGAGGTCGTAGCCACGTCCCACGTGTCACCTGGCAGCAAATGCTGCACCACTTGAGTTTGCAGCAGCGTCACCAGTTGGACCAGACTCGACTCTTGTGGGCGGGGCGACAATTCGACGACGGCAGTGGTCGGGACGTGATGCACGAGCGCGTGCCACAGCTGTTTGAACGTCGCCGCCGACAGCTGGCAGTGGTTGTCTCGGTAGTACAAGTGCCACGCTTCGTACAGCACGACCAGCTGCTCGGGGGAGCTGCCACGTATGGTACCTTCATTTTGAAACCGCCCGAGCACTGCCAGCACTTGGTCACTTGTGATGGGCTTTTTCAAGTCCAACAACGACGACTGGACATCCTCGACAGTCCACGGAAACAACTCTGCGTGGAGATTCAGCTCTGGATGCGGCAGGAACTGCATGACGAGGTGCCGCCGGGACACGAGGAATCGGCACAAAACCTCCGTGTCTTCTTCGTGATGACGACACTCGAGGCTCTGAATGACATGCTCGGCACGTTTCTGGGTTGTGGGGTAAAAGATCTCGGTGCCGGCCACTTGGGTTTGCATGGCTTCGTGGTGAATCAGTTTCAACATGTCTTCGTCGATGCTGTCGAGGTCTACGGTGGACAAGCTTGTCAGCAGCGCGTGCAATCGCTGCGCCAACGAAGACGAGTCGTCCGACATGCCGAGACCGACAGACGCGGGGGGCACGCCAAGCGGAACCGCCAGATCTGTCGACAGCACAGACGACAGCGGCTGAAAGTTAGCGCGCAGAATTCGAAGCAACGCGACGATGGAGTGGCCGCCTTGGGTGTCCACGTCCTTTTCAAACGCGGCGTGGCGGAGCAGCGAGTGCAGCAGCACAAACGTCAGCACGTGGGTCCACACAGCTCCAGACGATACCGCAACCCTAGTTCGAGGACAGCCAACAAGTGCCTCGCAACATGACGATCGCAAGTACACCATGGCCATCCGTTCCATAAACGCCAAGATACGGCCACTGATGCTGGGGGCGTCCGTGTCGACCTGCAAGGGGGGGGTTCGTGGTAGAGCAAGTTGGTTGAGACGGGGCTCGGTTCTCCAGCCACTGTCGTGCAACACATGACCATGCAGGTTGTTTTGACCAGTAGATGACACGTCAAACACCAAGTTTCCTTGGCCTTCTGAAAACGTATAGTGGGCAATCGTTGCTTGCGAACGCTGCGGGTCGTCTCTAAATACCTTGACTTGGCCAATGTCTCCAGCCCACGGCGCCATCAACGGAACCTCACATGGCACATTGCCCACGTACAAGTCGACGAGGCCGGGCGTGGCCGCGTCCAAGTGCGTGCCGCTGGATGGGAGGGTTTCCACCGCGTGACCATCCACATGGAACACGACCTGGCTCGGCGTGTAGCTCCATCCAAGGGTCGTCCACATTGACGATATCTCGACGTATCGTGCTGTGGTGGTAAACTGGCGGTCTTTCGTTCGTACAGACAGGCGGCCGTCGGCCGTGACGCCCCATACGAATGCAAAAACGCCGCCAGAGGGAGACGCACACGCGGCGAGGACCTGCATGCGTCCCGCTGGGGAGGACGAGCAGCCATCACCACCCATCCGGACCGTCACTTGCATGTGAAACTCGTCGGGCCATGTCACAACCGACTGAAACAGGGCTGGGACGTACAGGGGGCCTCCAGAGGACGGGGAAAAGTATGTGACGACGTCGGGCGAGTCGAGCGGGGTTGTGAGCGCCAGGGTCACCGTGTGCGACGGGGTGACTGGGTTGTTGAAGTGGGGATGGCGCGCACAGGACAAGTCGGTCGAGTCGACACTTGGCTTTCGTTCCTTGACGTACTTGGCAACATCCTTGGCCGTCCATGCGCGCGTGGGATACAGCAGCATGTGCTGTAAATACCCGCGGAACCCCTTGTAGTCGGTGGACGCTTTTTTCACACCAGGCGGGGACTTGCCGAAACAGAACGGATGGCTGTTGTGCACCACCACGTCGTTCAGCGACAGCGTTCGGTCTTCTTTGCCCTGGATGTACAGCCGCAGCGTCACATTGTCGCATACGATAGCGACGTGGGTCCATTGGTTGGCAGTGATGGGGCCAGTGGAGACGAGCGTCGAGTTCCAATCCGACTTGGTTGATACACACACTGCCAGCAAGAGCCGATCGTAGCTCAAAAATACACTTGCCGTGCGTTCCATGGTTTGGTCTTGGCCCTTGAGACAGATGGTGCGCCATGGACGCGGCTCACAGTTGTCTTGGGTTGCCAGGGGGTACACAAAGAAGCTGAGGGTCCATGCTTTGGGCGCCCACTGGATGGACGGGTGCGGGCGGCACACGGCGCCCTGGACCGATGAAAACTCGGTGCAGTCGCCGATAAACTCGACCGATCTTTGGCCATCCCCCGCAGGTGCAGCACTCACAACAACTGGACCGAGGTGTCCAAGGCTGGTAAACACGCCCGGATACATGCCGGCGTACCGCGTAAAGAGAGATGATCGGAACGACCGCCTGCCGATGCCCACGCCGGGCACGAGGAACTCTTCTCGAAGGGCTGGTGGAAGAGGCAGACGCAACGTGGATTGCTCGACCGCAAATGTCAGCGTATTCTGGTCCAAGTCAAGAACGCAGGAAACCTGACGCCAAGTTAGAGGGACTGGCGTCGGGAGCGACCCCAGGACGTGGTAGTTGAAGTACACGGACGTGCCGTCGAACCCGATCGAAGCCGCGTCGTCGCCGAGCAAGACGGATGGATGTTGGCGTTGCAACGTCGTCCAGCCCACTCGAAACGGCCAGGGTCGGGATGTGACGGGGTCGATTGTCTCGATCGAATACGTTCGAGTGCCCGAGCTATGAGGACGCCATCCAATCGCGGCGACGTTCGTGCACTCGGAAGTATCTGCCGTGATCGTGGCGCCGTCGATTGCGAGAATCGATCCGGCCGTCGGAGGAGCGTGGAGACAGACCCAGCGAGCGGCAGACACGGGCTGGGCGTCCAAGGCCGCTTCGTGCTCGGCCGCAGCGGTCAGATGAACGAGATCGAGGTATTTTCTCCCGGCATCGGTTGCATCCACGATCGCTTGAAAGTGGGACTCAAACCGCGATACATCATCCTCGGACAACATGGCGGCTTTGAGAAGGACGAGCAATTCCAAACAAACGGACTCGTCGCGAGGGTCGTGCTTTTGCCTCAAGTACCCCGATATCGCATGAAAGAGGACGGGTTCGAATTCTTTGAGAACTGCCAGCGCATCTGTGAGGTCTGTGGTCGTCGAGGGCACAGCGTCGACAGGCGCGGGCTCGTCATGGGGTGGCGGCTCGTTGGACACTTGCGTTGGCAACACCGGTGACGCAACGGCGTCCGTCGTTTCGGGTGGGAGAAACGCTGCACCTGCCACCGGGGTGTGTTGTTCTTGTGTGGGGGTATGTTGTTGGATCAAGGCGCGCAGTCGTTCTTGGACCCCGACGCGCCGAATTGGTTGGGGATTCGCCTCGGGCAAAAAGCAGCATGCCAAGGACCGCAGGGACAAGCAGTTCTGGTACGCTCCTTTCCTGCACGCGGCTTTGACATCGTCGATGAGTTCCTGGAGCTTCAACTTCTCGCGCTCCACGTCCATCCTACGCGGCGATCTGCACTATCTACCGCACGTGCTTTGGATTATCTTGGCCCTGATCCAATTTATCCGGAGACAATCTGGAAGGCGATATCCGGATCACATAACGTATGTCAATCCCACTTCAACATGAAATCGTACATCCAAGGTACGTACATTAAACCGTACACGTACACAATATCTACCTTGCGAGATATTATAAACAATTACTTCTTGAACTTGGCGTTTGTAAACGAATTCCACTGTATTTCTTCTATTTTCATTCCTCGTCAAACAATTTCAGGGAAATTATTGTGAACGGTACCGTACTTGGTCCAGTACAACTGTACGAGAGTAGAGAAATCGCGTTAACGTTGTGCTACTGTAATATTCTCGTGTACTACTAACTAGAAATGGAGTATGCTTTCGCGGGTTGTTTGCAATAAAAAAGTAGTACTATTAATAGGTACTGGTACTACTTTTTTACTAGTACTACTTTTTAAGTAGTACTAGTTAGTAGTACTACTTTTTTATTGCAAACAACCCTCGAAAGCATACTCCATTTCTTTACCGTCGTCTGTACACGTCCACAAGCTTGATGGCATTATTGCTGAATCAATGTAACCATATATCGTGTGGATGTCTCTACATGATGTCGACGTTGACAATCCGAATGTCCTCAAACGGCTTGTCGAACCGATCGACGCGCACCCCTTCGATGGCGGCGACGGTGTCCTTGCCCGTCTCAACGCGACCAAACACCGTGTGCTTGTTGTCCAGCCATGGCGTGGGCACCGTCGTGATGAAGAACTGCGACCCATTTGTGCGCGGACCCGCCTACACATCCCTCCATTTAGTCACATAACTTGAATAGATGAAAATATGACTTGAATAGATGAAAGTAAGATTATAGATGAAAATTAAGACGTGAATAGATGAAACGACCCAAATGGTGGTGCGTACATTTGCCATGGACACTGTGAACGGCCGGTCGTGGCGCAGATTCCGATGGAATTCATCTTCAAACTCCCCACCCCAAATGGACTCGCCGCCAGTGCCGTCGCCTTGCGGGTCCCCCGTCTGAATCATAAAGTTCTTGATCACGCGGTGGACCAAGCAATTGTCGTAATACCTACACATATCAATCTATCATTGTATCCATACGCGTAGTGTGCCAAATACATTGTATAAATATATAGATCCTACATTAGATTTCAATATATATATATATATATATATTGTAGTGTTTATTCTAAACCGGAGCCACATGGAGAATGAATGCATCAACCAAAATATGAACCGCGAATCGGAAAAAAGAATTTAACCAATCAGATTGCAGGAAACCGTTGTCAACATGTGTGTGACTTTAATTAGTGTGATTTCATTCACCCACCATACCACTTTTGACATACAAAATTCAGTATTACGCATTCGTGTCAAAGTTGGAGTAGATAGTCCAATCGAATAGCGGCAACCCAAACGCAGACAATCGACTAGCCAATGAGATTTCTTCAATCCTAAATTCCAACCAATGATAGTCCCAGTTGAACTATTTATATTCAATTTTCGTAAAGTGTGCATTATATATATGGTATACAATTGTGCTTTTGAATCGATTTCTCAAATAAACTGCCCAAATTTGTGTGAAAAGGACAATCCAAAGAATCGATCGATAGATCGATCCATAGTTTTTTTGGCGAATATACGCACTCAAGTCCAAATGTTAGGTTAAACGACATATATATATATATATATACGACATTCATTCATTCCACGTGCCCCCCATCCTCCTGATACACCGACAAGACCTGGTCAACACATACCCGTTGCGCGCGTGGGTGCAAAAGTTCTCGACCGTTCGGGGGCATTCGTTGGGGTACAACGTGAGGAAGATGTCGCCCATGGTCGTGTGGATCACGGCGCGGGTTCCCAGCGCCTTGGCGGTGGTTTTGGTCGAGATTTGGGACTCGTCCAACGTCGGCTTTTCGTTAAACACGTCGCGGCCGTGCTCGTCATCGTCCGAATCGATCGGCTCCCGCGACGAGAAGCAGTAAAAGCGCGGTTTCTTGAACGCCGCGGCAAACACCATCGGGTCCACCCACGCCTTGGCGTCGTCGGCGTCGCTCATGAGCAGCTTCTTCTCGACTTCAGTCGACGCATGCTTTTGAAATTGCGTATTGATCGACGGCGTGCCCTGCATACATACATACATTCCCCATCATGAATGAGTGTGTCAACATGGACTCGAGAATAGATGAATAGATGATTTTCATTTAAATAACACAGGTCATGTAAATGAATACAAGCGGAGTAGTACGCATATGATGTGTTCACGGCTGCATCGAGAGAGAGAGGGATACATACATATATAGGTGATACTGGACACAACACACATATGTCATTCAATCGATTGTAGATCCTCTCAGAGGTCACGTAAATGAATAGATGAACACTATTTATTTTCACGCTTTGAATAGATGATACCTGAAACAAACACAGGTGCGTGAACCGCTCCGTGTTTTCGACCTTGCCGAGCACCCGTGCGAGCTTGTTGGTGTCAATGTGCAGGATTTTGATCCCCAAAAGCGTCGAGAAGAGCAGGAAATGGCCACTGGCGTCGAAAATGCAGTTGGATGTCACGGAAGCACTGGCCATTTCCTTCTCCACGGCCATGCGCCGCCCAAAATCAATCGCGTCCAACTGCAAACTGCCGTCGGCTTGGGCATCTTCAAATTGCACCAACGATTCGTCGTACTTTCGACGGAGTTTGCCTATCCAGACGGCGAACAACCATGAGAAAGACATAGATATATATAGCTAGCACATTTGAAAACACGAAATGAACAACAACCAACATGGACGTATACCATATTAGTATCATCAGTCTATCCGCTTTCACATACACAGTGTAGCATTGTATGACGATGAAGTTGCCAGTACTATCGTGGAATTGGTACGAATTTCTAGTCCCCGTTGAATCGAATGATCTCGCCGCCGAATCGACTACTCACGAATCGACGCTATTGGCTAATCCAATTTTGAGTAAATTTGATTGGCTTTTACAGAAAAGACAAGTAGATTCAACCAATCAGAACGTCCAGCGTGTTTCAATCTTGATTCGACAAGCCATGCGAAGTTTGGAAGATTATACCGAATGCACAAAACATATCTTCAATATATATATATATCAGTAATACTTCTCCTCAATATATATTATATATATATCAAAATGGTGTTAAATGTCATGTACCTGTGGCAAAGCGAAACACGCGCAGGATCGAATCCGAGGCCGTCACAACAAAGTCGGCACCATTTTGAGATACGTCGATGGTGGTCGCGTACGCTCGATGCTTGAGCAATTCGTACAAGTCGGTGTCCATCTTGGACTTGAACTTGACCGCGGGCGATCCGGGAAACGAATACGTGTCGGCGGACCAGTACTCCAACATGCCCTTGGTGTCGCCGGAGATGACAACGTTTGCCACGGCGTTGAACCCCAGCAGTGACACTGGCGCCGAATGCAACTTGTCCACAACATGCAGCAATGCCGCGTCCTTGGCTTTCTCGGCGTGGTACACTCGCAACACATGCGAACCCTTCTCCGCCACGACGATCTTCGGGACGACGTGACCCGCTTGGTAGATCCAGCAGCATTGACTCGGGATGTACCCCAACGTAAGCATGTTCACCATGTCAAACCCCAAAATGTCGAAAAACTTGATCGTCCCGTCGAGCGACGTCGTCGCCAAGCGCAGGCCATCGTCCGATACCGCTAGACCCACAATCGCTTGCAGGTGCGCTTTGTAATGCTTCACAAACTCGATCCCCGTTCGCATTTTGCGCCAAAATTTGATGTGGCCGTCCGCGGATGCGGTGATGAGAAATTGCGTCGACTTGGAAAACGCCACATGAGTCACCGAATCTCGATGCATGTAGCTCTTCTCGTACATCTCAGCGCATGGAAGTTGATCCAGGAGAGCTTTCTCCGCTTGGACATCCACTACTTTTCGCCGCTTCCCCGCAGGAAGCGGCATTGGCATTGGACCGTCGTCATCACTCATCTCGGATATGCCCAACCAAACCGCAGAATGGTATCCGCATAATTCAGCCGGATAACACGACTGGGTATTTGACCTGAAACTTATTATTGCTACTACAATTACACGAAGTATTGATATAGTATTTCGTAGTATAATAGTACTAACGTTAGTATACTGTAGTTAACGATCCAATCACCGGTCGTCATTTTTATGCTAAAACCATACTACTGTACTCGTTGACTTGTTAATGGAATGGTGGTTCACCTTGCGCTGCATACAAAATTGCCTATTTCACCTTGCTTTTTTCTGGCGAAGTACAAAGTATGTACTACTGATTTCCCCCACTAATCGAAACGGGGAAAACTCGATAATTTTTATAATCTAATACTTCGAAGTATCATTAATCTTGATAGGTTTTTTCAAAATTTTGAATGAGCTCCCATATTTCGTGTTCATAGTCAACTCTATATGTTTCACTTAATGAAAAACCAACAAAACTCGTATTGCTCTGTGCATTGGAAATGAAGGCCAAGACAAAATCAAGGATGTCCATGGTGGACAAGCATGAATTATACACGTGGCACTTAAACAACCCTGAATACTCCTATTCGGACCTGGCGCTGTGGGCTGCCGAAACGTTTGGACTTTCATCGACGCCGTCCAAATCAACAATCGGGAACGCGCTACACCGCCATCAAACAAAGAGTGTTAGAGCTGACAGCCATGCTATATCGCATGAACGTCGAGTAAAACTGCCCGAGGTGGACGAGAAGGTGCTTACCTGGGTGCTTCGTTGCGAGGAATTGGGCGTATGCATCACCGGGGAGCTAATCCGCAAGCAGGCATCGACCTACGCCGCTCAACTTGACGTCCCAATCGATGATACCCCAGCCTATTCCAAGGGTTGGCTTTACCGATTCCAGCAAAAACACGTTCTTACCAGCAAAATCCAACACGGAGAAGCTGGGTCAACCCCACAAGCTGCGGTCGATCAAGGACGGCGTGAAATGCAGGATATCACGAGTGGCTACGCTGCAGGCAACATCTACAATATGGACGAGACGTCGTTCTTCTACTGCATGTCTCCCCATCGATCAATCACACGCAATCGGGTACCCGGGACAAAGAAGAACAAGAAGCGAATCATCTTGGCACTTACCACGAATGGAGACGGAAGCGATGTCGTCGACCCACTCTTCATTGGTAGTGCTGCTCGGCCTCGTTGTTTCAATGGGAGGTCTGGTGCTGAACTTGGTTTCGACTACCATTCGAGTCAGAAGTCATGGATGAATGGAAACATCTTCAACACCTACCTCACTTCTCTCGACAACAAAATGGCTGAGCAAGACCGAAAGGTTTTGTTGCTCGTCGACAACGCGCCTCCCCATATTGTCTACGACGACACTGAGTTGAGAAATATTCGTGTTCGAATGCTGCCGAAGAACACGACCGCTTACCTGCAGCCTCAAGACGCCGGCATCATTGCTTCCTTCAAAGCCAAAGTCAAGCAGAGGCAGTTGGAAAACGCGCTTGATCAAATTGAATCTGTGATGGCAGGACGCCAAGAGGGGTTGTACGAGGTCCCACTTGTTGAGGCGATGGGGTGGGCTAAAGAGACGTGGCGTTCCGTTTCACAGTCGACTGTGAGGAATTGCTGGGCTAGAACCGGCATCCTTGACGACGATTTGGCGT